GACAGGGTTTCTCCATGTTGGTCAGGCTGGTCTCAAACTCCCGACCTCAGGTGATCTGCTCACCTCGGCCTCCCAAAGTGCTGGGATTACAGGTGTGAGCCACTATGCCTGGCCTCCAACTTTCAATGTGCTGCTGTTGAGAAATCTTGATCTCAACACTGCTCACCCTCCATGCCATAATTACCGAATGAGTTTTAAGAAGGAAAATCTCAGATGAGTCAGAATCACGGCCCTTCAGCCCTGCCTTAGATTTCAGGCAAGCTCCAAAGGATTGGGGTATACTGGGTGGGGTTGGAAGTACACCACAGAGTTGTCCTGCACACAACCTTCTGGAAAGTTGGAGATGTTCCCAGTGGGACCTCAGGTTACCCTGTCCAAACATACTCATTGTATGAAACTTAGGGAGATGTAAGCAAGGACCATACTATCGAAAAGGAGAGAAAACATGGTCACAGACATGTTGGGAATGCTAGGAAGATGGGCATCCCTATGACAGCAAAACAAATCACTGAGAACCCATTAGGGATACAGGAAGCATGTAGCAACCCCCTAAACCTCCTTATTCCCAGAGGAAGCCCAAGCTGAATACAAAACTGTAACCACCAAAGGGACAGGCTCTGATGGGTAGGCAGGAATCCAGGCTGTAACACAGGGTCCCTGGGTCCCAAGGGCTGTGGTTCTCCAGGCTCATTGTGTTTCATTTTGTACACATTCAAAGTGGGGACTTACTACGGTTTGTGAAGCAAAAAAGAGTTCCTGTGCCCTTTCCTGGCAGTGCTGATAGCAAAGTGACTCTTAGAAGCCCAGCAACCCACGGGTCAGGGGCTCCAGGGCAAAACCGGGATCACAGAGGCTTTTCAATGGCTCCAGGACTATGATGTCAGCATGGGAGGAGGGATAAGCACATGGCCAGGGAAAGGAAAGGGCAGCTATCACTCTGCGTTCTGAGCGCTTCACCTAGCAGGGGTTTGGCAGCCAGAGTACAAGTAAAAGCCTGGAGCACCTGTGGGTGCAGGGCACTTCAGAGACACCCTCCTTCCACATGCTCTTAGACACATCTCTACCTAACCAGGAGAGGGAAGCAGTAAGAGAAACTTCTCCTTCCAGGGTCTCCTGACTTCTGAGAAAAACACCTGCAGCCCAAGCTCCCCGATACCCCACCTCCTCACCCCCTGTTGGCCTTGCTCCCTAGATCTCCCACCTATCCAGCTGGCATGAGATGAGGCAAACTAATGCCTAGTCTCTGAAAATACAGCTTCAGAGCTAACCCACTGTGACTCGCTTGGGTACATCCAGCGAACGCGGAAAGGGACATTTGTCCAAGTACTCACCAGTAGCAGCTCAGCTGCGGGCACCATGCAGGGAAATCAGACAGCAGGCAGGAGAAGCAGTCCCGGGGAAGCCAGCACCATCAGCCTGCTGCCTGCCACAGCCGGGGCAGAAGCTGGGCTTTCCCACTCCTCGCCCCCAGCAACAGAGGTCAGGACTTCAGCCCACGCCTGGAAGCAGACCTGGGGCCACAGGCACACAGGTTCCAGATCCCTGAAAGCGGCTCGGGGCTTCCAGGGGCTGATGAGAGGTTCTCAGTCCAGGGAAGCCAGGACTGCTGCTACTGCTCGCAGGGAGAAAACATTTCCCTGGAGAGTCAATCCAGACTGCCGTGCTCAGGTGAGGTCGGTGAGAAAACCTGACCAGCAGCTCTGGCAGCTTGGTCTGGCCGCAGGGAAAGCAGGACACAAGGCGGCAGCCTGCCCCGAGCAGCTCCGATTGTCCCTCACGCTGCTGAGCCTCACTCCCAGCGCCAGACAAAAGCCCTGGAAGCAGCTCGCAGCCCGGCTGTGACACACCAATCACCAGCGCCAGGCTGTCCTCCCAGCTGGCCAAGCCCTGGCCACCCCACAAGGGCTGGCTTCCTCTCCCTAGTCTCCTCAAAGCCGCCTGAGGATGGTTTAGGATGATTTATCCTCGCAGAGTGGATTATTCATCCCAGGAATACTCCAACTTTGGCTGGACCAGAGAGCAGTGGTATAATGCCCTGGCTTAGAGACTGAGAGAGGGTGGGAGAGAGAGTGTGTGTAAGAGTGTGTGAGAGACTGTCTATGTGCATGTGAGCAAGAGAGGAGGGCGAGAAGCAGTGTGTGCATCTTCCCAGAGTATATCTATCTGTCCCTCTCTAATTTCATCCAATCCCTCTCTCCTCTTGGGTTTGGAGATGGGGGGATGGGCGGTGAGAGACACGGATTCCAGAACAGGCAGGAGACACCATCCCTTCCTCCCCGCCCCCTTGCCACCCGCTCTGGGAGGGTGATAATGCCACCCCTCCCGCTCCTGCCTCCCCCACAGCTGCTGCTGTCAGCAGTAGGCTCCCCCTGCTGAATACTCTCAGGGAACAACTTTGGAAGAAGCAGCATTTCACGAAATAGCAGCACAGACCCTCCTTTTCCCAGCCCAGGTCCTTTTATGCTTCCATTTAGATCATTGTCCCCCTGCATGCCCACCTGTCCCCATGCCCATTCTCCAGAAGCCTCTCCCCACCTGCTCCCATCTGAGAGCCGCATCCTCCTCACCAGGCTTCCTGCAGGTCCTGGGCTGGGAGGACAGCAAGCCCTTCTGGAGTGTGCCATCAGCCCTGCACCACTGCATCTTGACTTCCTCAACCTTCCCTCCTGTGTGCTGCCCACCAAGACACCTCACAGATGACAAGAATGAGCAGTAACTCCAGGCTGCCTGTACAATTCATTCGGAGGGAAGCCAGGACTGCAGAGAGCGTAGTGGGGAGTAGAGGATATCCCATAGCCTTTGGCAGCATTAGCCACCTGTAGGTCTGAACACCTCTCTGTTTCATATCTTGGCTACCACAGAGGAGGCCAGGACCCCATCTATGGCTTTCATATTTACCTCCTTCTTTGCAAACAATTATAGTGGTTCTCAACAAGTGCAAAAGTGATTAATTAGTCTTTCTTGGCCTGTGAAACTGAGGAGGTCCCTGCCTCTCCTTCCTACATTTCCCTGCCATGATGGGTGTGTGCTGATGGATCTGCAGGGAGAAATGGGGGACAAGGTAAACACAGGGAGGAATTTGGTACTTGGGAGAGCGCTTTGGAGACAGATCACCACAGGCTGTGCCACCGTAGTCCTAAGGGTTATTGGCTTGACCATGCGAGGTGACGGCCTAGGCAGCTTGCTATTGTGGTTGACTGCCTTGGCTCAGGGGTTAGGCAGGACGAGGCGGGTAAACTTATCAACTGTGGAACCTTGAGCAAGTTGCCAAATCTCTGGGACTCAGTTTCCCTATATGACAAGTGGGAATATTAATATCTACTTCATAGGGCTGTGCAGAGAATCAACTAGGATGAAATAGGTACACTGCTCCCCATGATGCCTGGCCCTCAGAGATGCTGGATCCTTTATTTCTTCTTGTATGGAATCCTAGGAAACAGAGGTGGCGGCTCTTGCAGTGGGAAGGAGGCCCCCAGGTAAGCTGCTTAAAGGGAAAGGGCCCAGCTGGAAGGAGATGAGAGGGGTGTTTAGTGGGAGCAAAGCCGGGATGTAAACCCAGAAAGGAGAGGCGGAGGGGCAATATGTCAGGTTGGAAGAGCAAGTCCAGCCAAGGAGGTGGAATGTAACCCAGGACAAGCCAAGCTGGGGAGCAGCCTGTGGCCAGGGCTGGAAAAGCCCTGCAGGAAGCAGGGCATCGGGTGGTGGGGTGGAGAGAGCCGCGTGCCTGGGAAAAATGTTAGTTTGGGGTTTTCTGGAACAGAACCCAGGGACCATGGCAGAGGGTGGCTGGATCAGCACGAACCATCAGAGTCCCAAATGAACAAATGAAGGCCTGAATAGAACAGGACAACTTTCTCCAGAGACAGAAAGGGGAGAGGCGGCAATGGCCTGTGGTCTACCAGAAAACCCTCAATAACCACCAACAGCCCCTGGGATGACAGGGTGGCCACAGCCCGAGCATCTCTGCCTAGAGACAGGCTCTGGGCAGAAGAAGCTGTAAGCATGGTGGGCCACAGAGTTCTCCCTTCATATCTGAAAGCAGCTGGCCTGGGCCACACATGGTTTACATCCTGAAGCCCCCTCCAGTGGAGGCAAAGCTGAGAGGACACAGCACACAAGCTTGAGAGGGGTCCTGGGGTTGAAAAAAGGGGATGGCCATGAATGCTCAGGCCAGCACCTCAAATGAGATGGCCCAGTATCATGGGGAGATCATGGCTGGGGAGCCAGGAGTCTTGGGTTCTAGTCCCATTCTGCCAACAACTGGCTGGGTTGCTGGTCTTCTCTGGCCCATTGTATCTTCTTCGAAATAAGACCAGATTTGTGGTCTTCAAACTGTTTATTTTTCAGCAGCAGAACCAATTCTCAACATTCCGAGCCTCCGTTTCTCATTCTTCAAGTGAAATCTTACCTAGAATATCTGTATATATCCAGATCAAACAGAAGCAGCATTACATTGATGGGTCAAGGGCTGGAGCTTGGCTGTCAGTCTCCTTCAGCAGCTCTTAAGGTGGCTTGGAGGTGCTCCAGAGCTCCTCAGAACACAGCCCGAAATCATGGCACTAGCCTGAGGGCCTTTCCCCTCTCTGACTCTAGGGCTTTTCATCCCCACGGAACATTGATAGACATTAACTTGGATGGGCGCCAGCTGGAGGGCAAAGCCTAAGAGAGGGGGCAGTTCCCCGCAAATACATACTCATCACCTACTTGGGTTGCAGGTCCCACAACAGAGGCTGCCGAAGGTGAGAGCTGGCCTCAGTGGCTATGGATAGCAGAAGGGAGGCCGTCTGGGCCTCGGGCTGCGGGTGACAAATGTACTACACAGCAAGGCCAGATGGACGTCCCTGCCTTTGGCACCGTGGCTGCTCCAGGAAACACTAGGCTGCCTTTCATACCCTGGATCGTCGCAGGCTCCCTCTCTCCGCGGCTCAGCCAAATCATAAATCTAGCCTGCCAGGGGAGCTGGCTGCCCTGACCCTGGCCCCGTGCTTCCCCGCCTTGGCCTCGCACATGCCAAGATCCGGGCACGGGCGGTGGGATCCAGGCACGAGCAGTAGAAAGAGGGACTGTGGGGCTGGGCCCACGTGGACTGAGAGCCCTGTCTTGGTTTGGGGCTTTCCAGAATGTTCTTCACCCACATTTTTCTCTTTTTACCTTTCTAGTGCCCTGTCTTGGTTTGGGGCTTTCCAGAATGTTCTTCAACCATATTTTTTTCTTTTTGTCCTTCTAGTTCTTCTGTGCAGGATTTTGCTAAGGACTTTATTTTATAACCGTGCCCCCCTCACAGCAGCCTCCTCAGCCCTTCAAGAATTTAAGTCTGTCAGAATCTGGGACTTTCCGTGGGTCCCTGAAGCCCAAGGCTGCCCTGCTCTGCCCTGGGCCTCCAGGAAGGAAGCCGAAGTAGCATTCGATCTGCCCAGCCCCATGAGGAATGTTCTTGCACAGGCAAAGATCCCTCAGCTAGAGATGCCCCTGGATTCTGTCTCCCGGAGGGGGTGCAAACAGCCTTGCCACTCCCACCCGCTGTCCTGTGTCCACACCCCAGGACAGGGAACCCCCTGAAAAGGCTCTCTCCTGTTGCCCCAGCCCCACCTTCCCTTCCTCCTTTCTTCTTTTTTCTTGTGGATTCAACACATCACTTTGTGCAGCACTTACGGTTTGCAAACTGCCCTTTCCCCCTTCACAATAGTGCAGTGGGCACTGCCATCTCCCCTTCAGGTGTAGAAGCCGAGGCTCAGAGTGTCGGCCCGACCCAGGTCACAGACTTCTCGGCAAGGCAGACACCTGAACACCTGTGTTCTGTGGGCTTCTCGCTTTCTCACAGCTTTCTTCGCCTCCCCTCTCCTCCACCTCCTTCAGTTTCCTCTCCTCTCCTCCAGCTCCTCCTCTTCTCTCCTTTCCTTCTGGCATCTCCTCTCAATCCCTCCTCTGCCCCTCCCTAACAGATCTCCTCCAGACCCGCATGAGGTCAGAACTGGTGGGGACCTTACCCCATCCCCTGGTTCAAAGGCCAGGAGACTGAGGCCGCATTACCTGGCTTGTCCCCAAGACTCTCCCCTCCCCGTCTCCACCAGGGCCTGTTGGTGACTGTGGGAGGCCAAGAGGGGTAATGGATTTCTTAAGTCATCCTGATTTTATTACATGAAGCATTTCTAGGGCAGGACCCAGACGAATGCTCCCTCCCTCCCTCCTTCCTCTCCTCCCTCCCTCTGCAGCAAAGATGCTGCATCTCTGCATAATGTCTGCACCCTGTTTCACTCAGAAGGGAAAGGTCAAGGTCTGTGTCTCTGCGGCCAAAGTCACCAGCAGCCAGAGCCTTTGAGGGAAGTTCATTGGCCCGAGGCCTCTACCCCCAGGCCGGGAGACCCTGCCCCCTGCCCCACACCATCCAGAGTGGGCCTCTCTCCTCACTGGGTCTTGTTATGGTTTGTCTCCCTGGGACAGAGATACCACAGCCTCTAGGTACCACCCCTTCTCTTCCTCACGCCCCCACTTTGGGGCATTCCTGGCTTGATGCAACCTCAGGCAGCAAACACTGCCTGACCACCACCATGCTGAGCTCGGTGACTGTGATGTACCTGGCTGAGCCAGATCTCAGCAGCAAGGCCACAGCCTGTTAAGATGCTGAGAAGCCTCACAGGAGCCTCCCTTGGGGTCTTCTTACCACAGACCAGCCATCCCCAGCTCATATATCAACCTGATCTCCTTCTCCTAGGGCCCATCCACAAAGCCAAGGCCCAGGGAGGCTTGACAAACCTGGGAGTGCTCTGAATAGCGAGACCCACTTCACACTGGGGTCGGCCACTCAGAGCAGCCCGCAGAGGTTGGCCCACAGACTGGAAGAGCTAGTCAGGTAGAGCGGAAAGGACGGGGTCTTTGGGGTCAAGAAACCTGACTGAATCCTGATCTATCACTTCCCAGTTCCTTGACCTTGGGCCAGGTACTGCTCTGAGGCTCCATTTTTATCTGTTAAATGGGGAAGATGAAAGTTCCAGGCTGATCTATTTCACCAGGCATGGGAGGATTCCACAAGGCGAGGCAGGTGAACGTGTTTTGGAAATGGACAGAAGGTTGGGTGTTACCCAGGCCTGCAGAGTGGCCAGTATTCCACTCCACCCACGTAGCTCCAGGCCTCCCCTGCTAGTCAGTCCGCCCATTTGGCTGTAGGACAGTCAGCTGGCTACCCAGCTTCCCCTGAGG